GGCCTAGGTGTTGGCAGGACCAAACGAACCCTTGTCACCCCCTGCCGCCCTATGTCTTTAAATGAAGCGAGAGGCTAGGGGAGGGGCGACAGAAGCAAGAAGTAGCCGTGACCCTCCCCCTCACCCTCCGCTCGCTCGTCTCGGCTGCTTGGATGCCCTTCATTATAGCACCCGCTTGGAGGAGATGGGAGACGTGACGCTGGTTTTCACCAGGCAGCTGCGGGACGACCTCTCCGGCTGCCAAGTCCAGCTGGAAGAAGTCGAGGAAAGGGCCATGGACCGCCTGGAAGAGACGATGGCCTGCGATGAAGAGGTATGCATCAGATACACGTGCCTGAGCGTGACGTCAAGGGTACTGTACCGTGTGTCACGCTATTGCTAGTATCTGTTTTCGCGATTCGGAAGAAGTCGCAGTTTCAACACCAATTGTATTGTTGCATGCCCAGGGCGATCAATCGCGGGGCCCTAAAATAGTATTTCGATCGATAGTCTACAGTACATTCACAGCAGCGCTTGCATGTTTTCAAGCATGCCTTGAGCGGTCGCAAAGGCATCGCCGGGAGAGGTACAGCGGTGAGTTACTACACAGTAGGGGGGTGGGGGAAAGTGATACTCGACGTCACGCCACGCTATCGACCGAACCAAAGGCAGTGGATCATGCGTTAGGAGGAAGGTACATACACGCTTGTCGAACCTGCTGGCATTGGAGTGCATGGGCAGCCCACCGTGGAAAGATAACACAGCCCGACCCCCGGAGAGCCAGTCATGACGAGAGCAACTCTGTAACCCCCCTCTACAAACCGTCGGCCCCTACCGCTGTGTCTCGTTGGTTGTTTTTGTGCGATTCTCACTTTTAACAGGCGCGCGAGACCCAAGCGGCGTTTATCGCGTGCGCCGCGGAGCTCCAGCGACTGGATTCCCAGTCGCTAGACCTCGCCCACTTCTTGGCCGACAAGGCCATGCAGGCGGGAGCACCGGTGTCCATTGCGGATGCAGTGGACGCACCCAAGCCGCCGGTGTACGGCTTGCTGAACTTCTTATTCCGCCCACGGGGTGTCAGCAATGACGCCACGGTGAAGACAGTCCCGTCGCGAGTCGGGTAAGCATTCGTGTGCGTTATCGGATGCGAGGGGAGAGTGCATGCCAGATTTTTACGGGGTCGAAGTGGTGACTGCCTTGCCGTCCTTGGGTTTGGTTTCCGTAGCTACGGCTTGTGTCTGCCAAGAGCTTTTAAGCTCGCAACACTTAACATGATGGAGAGCTACTACTGTGTGCATCATTGATGTTTCTGGTTTTGTTGTTGTTGTTCCCTGCTGCGGTTGATCCTGTTATGCCTGGCCACTCTGGCGATTGCTGTTGGTGCTGGAAGCCCTGATGCTTGCAGGCTTGCCCCGTTGCTTCCGCTGCCCCCGTCATACCTATCTAGTGCTATGGCTGGCACGACGAGGCTGTTATGCTGGGTTGAGCCTGGTGGTGATGCAGAAATAAAGCAAGTTATTATTGTTGCCAACACCGCTGCTCCGATTGACCGTTAAAGCAAAAAGGGTAGCAAGTGCTACTCTGTTGCACAACACAAAACTCACATGCGCCCAATCTGTTCCCCCCATCCGACACATGAATGCATGTTGTAGCGCCCGGTTCAACGGGGTTCGAGACATGACCGCTTCCATCATGTCCAAGTTCGACGCGGACATGGCTGCGTGCAGGGACCGGATGGCAGACGGCTGCAACGGCTGCAACGGCACGGTGAGTTGGTTCAACGGCAGGCATGTATCGTGAAGCAAGGCTTTGAACACGAAACAAGAAAGTACGAACACACCACGGGAACTAGCAAGGGTTTGAAAAGCGCTTCCGTTCCCCAGCACTCCCGCCCCATATTCAAATGCTTACGGCGAGCGAAATACAACATTCTACGAGTACAGTATCCCTACCTCTCCTGTGGTACTCTCACCGACTATTTCATCACGATTGGCCTGTGTGGTGTGTTTTTTTCGTTCCACAGGGGCCGGGCAAAAAAGGGCAGCAGCAGCGACGGCAGCAGCGACAGCGACAGCGACAGCGACAGCGACAACGACAGCGACAGCGATACCGGCGGCGACGGCACCATCACTGACATGGACGCCGCCGAGGACGACAAGTCCATCGGTGGCGACACCGTTGCTGAGGAAGCCGAGTCCGTCCAACCGATCGACGACGGCAACGACCTACCGAAGCTGGGGGAGCCGTAGCATGTCTTTCTTGTGGACGACGCGGTTTTTTTTCGGTACATGCCCTCGTTTCGGCGATACATGGCCGTGCCAGCAAGTTCGCCTGTTTTCAAGCGTGATGTGAGCGCTGTGCGGGCCCTTGGTGCACGTGGTGTCTCTGTCTATGAGCTGTCTAGGCGTTTGTGGTGGTGTTGGTGTCTTGTCGGTTATGTTTGGTCGTTTTGGGTATGTAGGCGTTTTGTGGGTGTGGCAGGCAAGATGTTGTCGGGATTCAAATTTGGTTGTGTCTTGGGTGGTGTTGTTCCATTTTGGAGACAGACAGACGCGGTCGCTTGCCCTCGGTGGTTGAGCTGGTGCAGATAGTGCGATCGTTCTCCCCGCTGTGGCAGCATCGTTCTTCCACAGCAGTGTGTGTGACAAGTTTGTTTTTATTTCCGTACGGTCTTGGGGAACGAACCCTCGCGTGTGTCGGTTGTCTTGTCTTTTGTCGAACCAAGGGTGCTAAAACAATCAATTTTCTTGCACGCCTAGGCAACCATTTTCTTATTTTCGATATTGTCGGGGAGGGGGCGGGGTGCAGGTAGTCTACAGTTCCTATACAAGGCATAGGGGCCCCGCGGGGGGAACCCTGTTTTCGTTGAGGTACCCTTTGCGCGAGCTAGGATGCTCTCTTGCTAACCCGCAAGCATGAAAACTCAAAACGGGTACGACGTAGCACATCAACAGAGCACCTGATCTGCTCAACATATGTGTGAAACGTCGTAACTAGTTAGCACACACCATGTGTCCCCCACTTGTATGCATGGCTTGCGTGGAGTGGGGCTCGAAGCCCCAAGAGGGGCAAGTATTCGAAAACGTATTTTCTTCCCTCCCGGGGGGAGGTGGGGGAGGGGAGCATCTAGGTGTGCGAGATGGCATTTTGTTTTGCATTTTTACCCTTGGCCGAAGCTATTGGTGGCGTGGCTTGGTTGTAAGAGATGAGCTTGACGATGTACCTCGAACAAAGCCAAGTGACCTTATGTGTTGGTGCTCTGTCGGACTGACTTTCCGCCGAACCTGGAACCGCTCCGCATTTTTTTGCGGTGTGTTGATCCACAACTGAAGCAGTCAAAACGTCCTGACATTTGAGCTCGTATGTAAGTGTCTGTCTCTTGGGACCTTCTTGGTCATCATGTAGCGGCTCGTGTGGCCTTGGGTACACCTTTTGAAGGAGTGCACGGCAGAAAGCGGGTCTGGAGGTAGGCTTGGCCTTCTGCCTTGTAGTGCGTGCTCTTGGCTGCCGTCCACCATACATGGGAGGCCTACCTACAGTAATGGGACCGTATCGGGAGTTCGTACATTCTTTTATGATGTTCCACTCGAGCTCGGGAAGCAGTCCTCGTGTGTGTTTGTGCAAGGGGAAACTAAAAAGTCATGCGGCACACCTACTGTAGGTAGACCCGGCAGGGCCGAAACAGGTTTCGAATATTTGCTTTTCTTTGGGGCTTAGAGCCCGCTCCACGCAGGCCGTAAGTGGAGGAGACATCGTTTGTGCCAACTAGTTGCGGTGTTTCGTGCATATTTTGAGCAGATTAGGTGCGCTCTGTTGATGTGCTACGCCGTACCCGTTTTGTGTTGTCATGCTTGTGGGTTCGCAAGAGAGGATCCTGGTTCGCGCAAAGGGTACCTCAACGAAAACAGGGTTCCCCGCGCGGCACCCCTATGTTTTTATATAGGAACTAGACTACCGGTATCCCCACTACCCCGAAGATATCAAAACTAAAGATGATGGAAACTTAGACTATATGTGTTGCTGCAGGAACATGATATTTGTTTACCCTTGGGTGCGGGAAGTTCGCTGTCTTGTCTAGTCTTGGTGTGTTATATTTCTCGTCAAAGCTTTGTTGGTGGTGGTGTCGTTAGGTGCCGAGTGTTGGATTTGAGAATGAGGACATGTCCTCCCGCCGCCCCCTCCGTTTTCGAGATGAGCTTTGGCGATCGATCGATGTAGTCTGCGCAACGTGCGCTGCATGCGTTTGATCTATCAGCCGCGGTTACACAGGAGTTGTTGTGTTGTTGACTAGAATGTTTGGTTCTCTAGCGTGTGTGTGACTTACGAATTGATGGCTTTACACCGCAAACCGCAAGAAAAAAGATGTTTCACTCCAGCGAGAGTGAATCGAACCTCGAACTGCGTTACCACTATTTGAGGATGTCGGTCGATCAGCCAAGCACCGCGCTGATAGGCTCAACTCGGGAATGAGGGTCTAAAGTACCAACCACAGAACGTACCTCGCGCGTAGGTTGGGAGTTTCACCCACGCGCGCTTGCTTTCTTTCGCGTTTGTCCTCTACCTAGTCGCGGAAAGTAAATGTTTCTTGAGAACACACGATAGGCCGGAACGCCTGCACCCTTCTCGAGTCCTAGAGAATGGAACTGCAGAGCCGGGAGAGGCAGCGCAGAGGAAATTATGTTCCCCTGTAGTGCGACCCCGGATCAGAGAGTTCTTCACATGGAAGGAAGCGGAGTGGCAGGGCCTAGCGTTCACAATATTAATATTTGCCCCTCATTTTCACTCCTGTGTCGCCGCCTTTGCCCGCTGTGTTGCCCTGTACGTGGCTATTCTACAGTATCTCATTCCTGGATCCTGTCAACTCATCTCGCTCAGATTTCATGATATTTCCACGAGCCACCACGTGTGACAAGAAATAGTCTTGTACAGCACAACTTTTGATAAGATGGATGCGCATTTACGCACTCTCCCCTCTGTCTCCGCTGTTGTTGTTGTTGTTGTTGTTGTTGTTTGTTGTTGTTGTCTTGACATCAAAAACCGTTCCGATCTCTCTGCCCGGTACCATCATCTCTCCGTACTGATCAAACACTTGACCGGTCGATTCCCGTCGTCACAAGCAAACTTTCCCTTTGCTCGCGATGTTTTTGGTGCGAATCATGGAGTACACCACAGGTCTCCTACCACCAACAACGAACGAAACAGAGACTTGCGATCCAGAACAAGTCCTCCAGGTACCTTCGACCTGTGGCCCCACGTCCTCCGCCATCATATCCTGTGAGATCTGCTCCCCGTCTCAACAGACCCACCAGTCCACAACACGTCGACAAATGGTGCCAAAGTATTCCGGATCGGCAGCAACTCACACGATGCAGCCACAACAAAAATCCCAGAAATTTGCTTTCCTAACAAGCACAATAATGTTTCGATCAAATATGTATAGTACAAGGAGATACATCATTGCTGTTTCCCCCCTGTCCAAAATCTTACCGCCCTCATCCCATCACCACCACCCATCGAAGGGTGCAGCTCCATGGTGTACGCAAACATGTACCTCGTGTAAACATTATGGCAAACCACACGAAAAGACGGAATTTTACAAGATACAAATGAGAGACGCTTTCTTTTCACACTTTCACAAAAACGAATGGCCTGCGCGCGTCTTCTCGAAGAAGTGGCAGCCCTCATGGCCCACCCCGAATATGCCACTGTCGTTGACGATGGGGGAATGGTGAAACGCCAGACTTGTGACAATTATCCAATCGAAAACGGAAGGAAAAACATCTCGTCGGCTAGAAAATTCATAAATACCACCCACCACTCCCTCCTCCAACGCCACGAATAGTTGTTGTCTAACACCCGGTGCGTGCTCAGAAAATGGCTTCGTAGTCAAGGAGCCGAGCTCCCACCACCCTTGCCAAACTTCACACACCGCAGGCTGGGCTTGGCCTTGGACGAGGAGCACAGCAGTCCCCTCGTCAACCTCGTCAACCCCTCCCGCCGAGCGCTTGGGCGAAGTTGACCCCGTGATCGTCGTGCGGGAACAACTCCTTCGCCCACAGAGACCTCGAACCGACGCCCGTGTGATAGTCCGCTCGCATCCGCACGAACCCCACCAGCTCCTGGTTGCCAGATTGAAGAAAAGTTGCAATAGTCGATCATGATGATGGACCTCTGTGTTGTTCTACTAGCCCCACCTTGGAAATCGGTCACTGCTACTCATGTGTGTTGGCGATGATCGTCGTCGACGTCGTGTGTTTGCCGCTGTTGGTTGATGCCACTGTTGGAAACCTGTTTCACGCTGACATTTCCCGCGGGACCTATACGAGAACCACAATTATCTTCCTCTTCGACTCACGTGACGATTGTTATGGCATTAGCTTCCCTAGCTTCCCTACTTCCATGGGACTACATACAAAAGAGGGGCAAGTAGTGCCGTGGTGGGAGTTGAGATGACTATTGATGGAAGAGGGAAGCTACAGTAGCTCCAACACATCATAGCCGATACCGGGTCGAGGAAGGCTAGGTGGAACGGCCCTAGTCAGGACACCTCGGCAACGCAAGAAAAAGAAAGGTATCTGCTCTTGGTACCTTGCTGCTGAATGTAAGCCTTGGACCTTGTGGGGAAGTATTTACCATCCCAATGAAAATAAAGGGACCGGGATCGGTATTGTAAGAAACATCGCGCGTGTTCGTGCTGATCCCACCTATCGCATGTTATGCAATCTTTCATCCCGGACCAACGAAACACACACACCCGGTCAGGCGATGGGGGCAAAGTACGTTTGCGTCCTACAAAAGGGGCAGGAAATCTCAGTTCAGCACAAGCATGCGGTACAGAAGCAGCTGGACCAGGGAAGCGTCATGAGCAGAAGGCCTAGTGGCATCTAGCCCGCTAGAGTAGACAGCCCGAAAACAACAACAGAGGCAAAAAAAAAGGGCAACAACAGACTCAAAGAGAGATGCTGACGACGACACAGCACGTACGTACCTCCTTGCCCATTAGCCTTCCCTGCTCCATGAGCGAGAGCAGATTTTCCGGTGGCACGACGTAGAGGTTGGCTATCTCCCGCAGCTCCTCCGCCGCCGAGGTTACCCCCTCGCACCCAAACCTCCCCAAGACCTCCTGTGTGAGAGGGAGTGAGTTCACAGCAGCGTGGAGTGAGTGAGAGTGCAGAGAAAAGGAGTGAGTGAGTGAGCAAGTGAGGAAAAGCACAGCAGGGCAGTAAGCAGAGAGTGAGTGAGAGTGCATAGTGGAGGAATGAGTAAGCGAGAGAGTGAGTGAGGGCACAGCGGGGAAGTGAGTATAGAGTGAATGCGAGAGCATAGCAAACGATTAGGAAGTGTGAGTGAGAGCACAGCAGAGCAGTGAGCAGAGAGTGAGTGAGAGTGAAAAACAAAGGAATGAATAGGAAGTGAGTGAGTGCTTATCAAAATAATAGGAGATTGTGAGTGTGAACACAGCAGGGCAGTGAGCAAAGAGTGAGTGAGAGTGTATGGCAAAGGAATGAGAAGGGAGTGAGAGTGCACAGCCAAACAATATGAAGTGTGAGTGTGAGCACAGCAGGGCAGTGAGCAGAGAGTGATGGAGAGTGTATGGCAAAGGAATGAGTAGAAGTGAGTGAGGGCACAGCAAAATACTAGGAGGTGTGAGTATGAACACAGCAGGGCAGTGACGAGACATCGTGTGAGTGCTTAGCAAATGAATAGAGAGGGAAGGGAGGGAGGGAGAAAGCGGGAGAATGAGTGAGTGCGTGAGTGAGTGACAGCGCGGCAGAACGGTGAGGTGAGAGTGGGTGACCGCACAGCAGAGCAGCGAGTAGAGAGCGCACAGCAGAGCAGTGAGCAGAGAGCAAATGACCACACAGCAGAGCAGCGAAAGGGAGTGTGAATGAATAAACAGCAGGGAATGAGTAGAGAATGTATGGGCACATAGACTAGCGCATAGAAGAGCAGGAAGGAGGAAAAGCGGGTTGGTGCTTGGGATGAACGTAGTCGGCCAGACGCTACCAAGGCGGAACAGACAAAACCAAAAACGGGTGGGAAACAGCAGCGACACACGCACTACACACATCTATTTTCCGATGGAGTGACTCGACGACAATAGTCGTAAGTCGCATTGCTCCAGCACCTCCCTCTCCCTCTGCAAGAACAGAGCACCACACACCATTCACATACTGCTGGTCGGAAAAAGAGCGACCTCGTTGGAAATTTCAAACCTAGCGGAAGCAGCCATTATCTCCATCGTCAACACGTACCGTCATCAAGCAGAGGGGAACTCCGCGATCGGAAGATGTTCAGGGGAGGCAAAGGACAAACAAAGGGTATGACACACGGCCACCAGAGCTTGCATCCCACGCTCTTTCTGGACGCTACATCAACACGTTACCGTCGCCTCCCGCCCGGCCCATCACTCAAAACAGTAAGGCCGCTCCTGTAAAACGCGCATCGCAAGCAAATACCCCGTTGGTGCCGAAGTATATCATCGAGTCTATTGATCGCCATCCGTGTCTAACGGACCACAGCAGCTCCACGTCACGACTATTGAATCACCCACGAGATAACCATTGAAGAAATCATGACGGTGTCGAGTAGAAAATATACATAAATCACACACAAACGTTAACAACTTGAGCAAAATATTTCATCATTGAACAGTCATCACACCAATCTGCTGGATTTGATGAGAAGACATATGGCTAAGAACATACGACATCAGCAGTATTGTCTAGCCATGCAGCGTACAGAGGCCCGCAGCAGAAGACACTCGGCCGTTGCCTCCCTATCGTATCGTACGGTGTTTACCTGTAGGCGGTTGACGTCGTTCGCCAAGATAAAAGCACCGATCACGTTGACCTTCGTCTTCTTTAGGTGCTCCACGAACAACTCGTGAACCTGCCGAAAGGCGGAGGGTGGGGTAGGCGGAGGAAGCGACCATCGTCATCGCTAGCGAGGAGCATGTTGCCGTAACCTGCTAACCCCGCCAAAGGCCGTCACGACGAAGGGCGCGATGCGCTAGCGAGGCAGCGAACGATGTTGCATCTCTGTGAGGTGTGGGAGCATGTCGGGGTGCCGCGCTTTCTTCCTGCATGTTTCCCATACTTCTCCGGACTAGGTTCGGGTTGCTGGAGGGGGACTTCATAACACACAGGCAGGAACGTGCCTGCCAAAGGGAGGCACTCTATGAATGAAACCCGCACATTCAAAGACAAAACTCATTCGAACAATAACCCACGAGGGGAGACCTACTGCAGCCAAGCACCACCAAGCATCCACAGGAGTAACGAGAAATCGCGCCGCTAAGAACAGACAGGTACTAGGCTGCCAGACGGCAACGCAACATCGTGCACGCAAACCGTAGAAAAGCTACCGGGGCTTCAGGACACGGGGGAGGTTAGGAGCTTCCCCGCCCTCCGCTGTGGGTGGTACGAAGTGATTGCCCAAGTAGGGCGTGAATGACCCCTACCAAGTGCAACGTGGGGAAGACGGCGAAAATCTGTCGAGGGAAGAGAAGGGTAGGGTGGATGCGATGCGTACTGGACCCAGATATTTCGCTACAATCGGCGACCATTGAGGATGTCGACCCCTGCAAAATTCAAGCTACCAAACCGAGCTCCACCAGCGTTTCGAGTTGCCCACCTTACCCTCCACAGGCTGAAGCCACAGCCTCGGCAAAGCTAGCTACCCCTCCCAAGAGCGTTACATGTATCAACAAAGAAGAACTCACCCGGAGTCCGACGCTCTCCCAGAGCATCCGGAGGTCAACTCTTTGGTCCACCTCCTTGAGACAGTCTACGAAGACACTGTGTTGCTCCTCCAGCACGGAGGACACCGCCTGAAAGGAAACGGCAACGGTAACGGTAACGGTAACGGTAACAGTAACGGTAACGGTAACGGTGACGATAACGGTAACGGCAACGGTAACGGTAATGGTAACGATTGTCATGGAGAGGAGGCGGCAAAATATAATAGCATCAGAGATGGGAGCAAATAGAAGTGTAGGGAGACCTTTTTCCAGTCGCAGAACGTAGAAACCGGGCTCGAGCTAGTGTCGGCACCTTGTAGTACAACGCACCAGGGACAGCGCACTCATCATCGTATCTTATGTAGGCATCACTAAGGGAGTAAATAGGAACACCATGATGGTTTCGTTTAGCACATCTTCGCGGTGGTGTCCTCGTTGGGGCAACAGTAGAAAGGACTCCAACAATACAAAACTTTGGCCCGAAAAACACGGCCATCTGTAGCACACTAGGAAACGTCAACAGCGAGCAAAAGCACACAGTGCATGGGCCTGGGGTGACGCAAAAGAAAATCTGAACAGCTAAGGCACCAGCATGTGTCAACACCACCAACAACAAACCTTGACAGTCCTGGTGGCCTCGATCGCGGCGGTCTCCTCCTTGGGACAGTAGTCGCTCTTGCTAGACCTGAGAGACATCTGCTTCTCCGCGTACAGGATGAGCAGCCTCATGGCGTCCTCCAGCACTCTCACCGTCCACGCCTACGTGGTACGCACACAAGTTGCCAATGTTAATGGGATTGTTGCAGCAGCATTCTGAGCAACAGCACTCTGGGCAACAGCAAATTTAGCAACAGGAGCAGCCGCAGCAGCAACAACATCAGGAGTAGAAGCATCAAACCGGCAGCAGTGGTCGAGTGGCAGAGGTTGTGAGCATCGTGGTCGTTCTTACGACCGTGGCGGATGCCGGTGTCTTCACCACCAAGTAAAACCATGTTCACGATACGACTGCTGCTCTGACTTCTCAAACTTAACCAGAACCTCGACATACTCTCTTGCCGTTGCAAAAAAATGAATAAGACGCCGATTGTGTGGACGAGCGTGTCCAGAGGGGTCAGCAATGGCCAACAACAAACAGCCCGATGCCCGTTGAGACGACGAAGGCCTATTGAGATGTTGGGCTCGAGAAACAGCCCAAAACAGGCAGCGTACCCAAACTCACAAAAGCATGATCGATATGCATCAGAACGAAGGGCAGGAGGTAGACGACGGCATGATCAAATCGAAAACCAAAATGAATGACAAAAAAACTCTCCGTCGTAGAAGACAGGGTCGGTGAATGCAGACGGCATCGGGAACTGGAACGAATGAAATAAACCTCACAATCACGCCTCACAGTAGCGCACTAGCTGTGTGGCTGTCATCCCTCCAAGGCCGGCGGTACTTGATCTCCTTGTTAACGCAGTCCTCGCCCACAATAAACACACACGCGCACCATCACGGCATTCAAACGACAGAGGAATGCATATCTACACGTCAACACCATCGACACCGACGACGAAAGCGTGTACTGCCTACTGACTACACTAAGAAATACTGTACTCACGTCCACCCTGTGCAGGAGGCTCTTCTTGGTCTCGCTGGCGATCGTGCGGAGGGTCGGCGTGTCCTCCATCCCTTTCGCCACAACCTCTCGGTGGTGCTCCTCCAGACCCGCAGCCGCCTTCGACACCGCCTTCACCGCCTCGTAGAACTCCTGCCGGGTTTTTTTCGTTGCCGGCATTTTGGTTGCGGTCCGCCTTGGGGTTGAGAGTAGGTTCGGGGAACCAACCGGCTTGGGTGCTGCTATTTAGTTGAATTGGGTGGGATTGGGATCGGCTAATTGGCTTCTCCCACAACGAAACACATGGCAGGCGAATACCACAACGTGCACCACTAAACACTATGATTAGAACACACAGAAGGGAATCGATATCACATGTACTAGGACTGATCTGTTCCATGTATCAAGCTGCGTAGTTTCAAACCATACGCCACACGCGCGTTCGTTCGTTCACCGTCCTCTCACAAGAACTTTTGTCATAACCTATGCACATCCACTTTATTATTGTGCCCAGTGTTGCAACGAATACGCCTAACTGGCGGAAGTGCGCCGTCGTGGTAAACAAGAGAGGTGCATTGCATTGAAGTCGGTGTGTGTTCATTCGAACACGACAATGACCTTCGACAACAAACTGTGTTCGGGCAAGGTCGGTTGGGGCCGCTGCCTCAACCTCCCGAACTCCCAGGCATTGACCGATCGGTTGGCTGTTTCGGGGGACCCGCAGGACGAGACCCACACTGCCTCGTGTACAACCCGTACCGTACCGTACCAAACTGTACCGTACCGTCAGTCATCGCTATTGTACATGAACCCGAGCGAAGGTGAAAAGTCCTCAGCAAAAGGAACGACCTTGAGAGAGACACTTGAATGGCAGCAACGATCGGCGCCGCTTCAGCACCATCGCCGCTAAACCACCACCAGCTCCACTCACCCTAGGCGGGAGCTGCCCCGCCCCGCCTGTCATCTCCCTGAGCGCCGCGCTGGCCGCGTTGGCCGCGGGCTCGGGCAGAAGGTTGTTGGCGCACCGCAGGGCCGGCGTGAGCAGGTGATCGGCGAGGTACCGACACACCACTTGGAAGAACTCGCATACCTGTACAGTACAGGCGTCATCGTCGTTGGGTAACGTCACGCCATGCCATCCATGCCATGCCATCATACTCTCGGTCAACAACTTTTCGATAAATCTGGGGCGAGAATGATAGGTATTGCTGGCGGACACCCCATTCTGTCGGGGACTTGTGTGTGAAACGAGGTAGGTCTTACGCTGGCAAACACGTTGGGCATCTCTGCGATATGTGATTCATTCAATTCTTGGAAGCAACGATGTAGTGTCTATGAAACTTGAAGCTGTTTAACCTTTCGCCTCTCCTTTGACGCCCCTCCGCCTCTCTCTCTCTCTCTCTCTCTCTCTCTCTTCTCTCTCCCCCTCGCCCTTGTGCGTATTTCTCCGTGATGTCAGAAGGCGGCCTTCTTTAACAGCAGGCATCTGAAATTTGTTTTTCCCTTGAACTCGTCAGTTTGCGATGCTTCATGGGAGCGACGTGTTTAACGACAGCAACAACGACAGTAAGCGACATTATCAACAATATCAGCGGCAACAAAAGCACTCGCCTTCTGCTCCCGCTCCTCCTCTTGCACGGTGATGGTTCAGCAGCGGCGGATGGTTTCGGAGCTGTACGAGAATACGCCTCCCCAGGCGGACGGCCGTAACGGTCCGGATAGCACCTGGAGGTAAGAGCCGATCTGAACAAAAAAACACACACACGCACACGTGCGCGATAATGTCGACAAAAAGCAGACAGGCAACCACATGCAGGCGAACGTCAGAAAGAAACAAACCGAAAGCAGGAAAAAATAGAACATGTCCTGTGAAAAAAACACCTGACATCCACCGCAGCGACGTAAAAATAAAAGAAAACACAAAACAAAACAAATTAAACCGAGACCAAAAAGCCCCAAGCCACCATTGATCCGTCAACGAATTTGGCAACGAGTAGCACCCAGAACTTCTCCACTCCCGCCCTCTCTCCCATCAATGCAGATTTCATCAACAACGACTGGAGCCAGGAACGTCTTCTCGAGCCCTACAAGTATGAATCTCTTCCGAAGATCCCCTACCCCACCCCCTCCCAAAGGACCTTATAACTCCGTGAACTTGTCGACACCGGGAAACACGAAATACATCACCCCTCCCTCAGACCAATCATCCCTCATGGCCACGTCTTCGTGAACGGCATGGGAATGCCACCAGCATCACGTAGCCCCCCCCCCCGCCCCCCCCCGAAAATACTCGATGATATAGCGCCTCCTCCCCGCCCCTGACCTTGTCATCTCGAACGGCAGGAAACAGCTCCAGCCCCACGGCAACCGCCTGGCCCGCCGCAGCGCGGTAGTGCAGCATCCCCTCCCACACCGTCTCCGAGGTGCCCAGCAAGCTCTCCAGCAGGTGTCGTCTCTCCTTAGCGGCGTAGCTCACGCGGTGATCGAAGAACATGTGCTTGGCCTGGCCCGATTTTTTATTTTTGTTCAGACAGGATAGGATAGGACAAGATGTAAGTACTAGCTGTACACATGAACGAAAACGGAAAACAAAACAGAGACAAAGGTCTAACAAAAGATAGTACAGCAGAAATTGAAGACCCGCCGGTTATTTCAACTTTTGCTAGGGTTCTTCTTCCCAGGCCAAGGCTGCAGTTTTCCGGTCAACGAGGCGAGAACAGCACCAACAGCATCTACATCACCCGCAACTCGACCCACGACCATCGACTGCCAACCAGGGGCACCATGGGCTGCCAACCAGGGGGCAAGAGAAGAAGACACTGTAAGAAAACGGAAAGGTAAAAAGGTACCGTAGCTCGAAAGTGATGTCATACTGTAATCATTCCTTCATGTCCCATCCAAGTTTAGTGAAAAAGTTTGAACAAAAAAACACCAACAACCCGACTCTCAAACCCACCTGTTCGACCAAATAAGCGCGCAGCGCGGCCATCTGGCGAGATGTCTCCCCCTCCTCTTCCCCTTCCCCTCCCGGACCCGCGGAGCCCCCACCCCCGCGGTCTTCCTCTCCTCTTGCCGTTCTTACGACAGCGTCTGAACCTTGGCTGTCCTCGTCGGAGTCGCTACAGGTGTCGTTGTCGGTGTCGGTGCCGTCGTCGTCTGGGTCGGCCGCACCGCCTGCGCGGATGAAGTCGTGCTCCTGAATTCCAGCAACAAGAATTGGAACAACAAAAAACTACTGCAGTTAGCACCTCGTCGAAGCTATTACACATCAACGCGAGAGAAGTAATGGATCACCATGGCACCTCTCTGCCTCTGTCTCTGTCTGTCTGTCTGTCTGTCTCTCTCTCGTCCTTCTTCTCTCTTAGAACGCTTAACACGCAGGAGTCGCTTTCGAAGCGGCGGGTGAATGCCCGCCGGAAAAGAAACAAAACCGTTTTCTTCCACTGGTGGAAAAAACGCAGAGCCTGTCCTGGTGCTGCTGCTACGGCTGCGGTTGCTTTGACACGGCCTACGCGCACATGCATACATACATATATACATACATACAACACACAACATAAATGAGTACCTGCGTGACGACGAAGAAGACGAAGCGGCTCTGCAGGTGATCTCCCTCGTTGAGCGCAAACAGTATGTCGGAGCACTCCCTCATCAAAGCCACCTCAGGTGGAGACCTTCCCGCGGTGCGCTCGAACAGGTCCAGCAGCTCCTGCTCCAAGAAGTCGCTGTAGGCCTGTGGTGTTGTTAGGACGGGGGTGTGCGAGCTGGTTCCTGTGACGTCACGATTCCGATCTCCACCGCAACGAAGCAGAGACGAGCAGTGGCCGCCACATCGGCAGAGCAGTACCGCCGAAACAATCAATAGCAACAACAACATCAACATACAACAACAACAACAACAACAACAACAACAACAACAACAACAACAACAACGACGGCAGCCACATAGACCTGCAACTTTTCGCCGCCTTGTCGAGCTCCTTGGACTCCAGCTCGTGCGTGATGCTCTTCAGCTTGGCCAATACCTGCAGCGGGGAAACCCAAACACACCAACAACCAAAACCCACGGGCATAGGACAGTAACTAAGAGGAACAGCACGTCCATATCATCATTATGAGCCCCACAAAAAGGCGCGTAGCGATAATTTCACGGCCCCATTGTTGGCCTGGCGGAGAGTAGACCAGGGAACCACACAGACTACTACGACTCCGCTCATCGAAATGTTTCATTTCCACGCACTAGGGAAGTACAGCCTGATGTGGTCGTGGTCCTGCCAGATACAACTAGGAATTTGTGACCACCATATTAATTACTCTTCGGTCGTCCATGAAACAGCCCACGGCCGGGGCCGACGGGGTTGTCCAAAACCAAAATGACAAAAATATTGATACTGCAACTTATATCCGACCACCATAGGCCTCAATCTCTCGCACAAACCGACAAGCCACATCCCTCAAAATTCCCGCAGATAGCGTACTCATCTCTTGGACGTCGACCTTTGTCCAAGACACTATCGGAGAGGAACTAATATTTTCATATCCTCGTGAGTGCTTTCACGCGGGAAAAAATCTTCCCCACAACTCGACTGACAACAACAACCAGGTGTTTCCCTCTGTTTGGCCTCCCCATTCCCCGTCCCCTACTCCCGCCGACCGCCGCCGCCGTCCAGGCGTTCAAAAACTCCTACATGCTCAACCCTGGCTTCGAAGAGGCGCGAGGCATAGTCTACTGGCAGCGACGCACGCGTGCAGTCCAGATCACGAGGGTTACTCATTGTTTCCCGCCAAGCCCTCAAAAAGCGGCGGGAGCAAAGCAAACCACTTCTTACCGTCGCGGCTTCTGCTGTTCTGTCTTGTCGCAGAACACTGGGGGCAAGAGCTTCATGTACCGCACCACGGTGTCCTGATCCTCGGAAAATCCCTCCGGAAGGCCCTCGAAAACCTGCAATGCCGGGGTACTTCTCGTATTTTCTCTCTGTTGCTGGAGTTTCGTCGCCGAACTATTGTCATTGTTACTCTGATCTCTACCCGCCGCCCCTATCGTCTATGGCCATCGGCTAGCCCAAGCGAATGGTACAAACCGAGCGGGCAACTTTACACTCACAGGAAAGCCATCCAACCGATTCACAGTCACGGCCTCTCCCGCATAGTACAGCGAAAACTGTACACCGCTGAACGTTAACCTCTTTGCACCTCCCTCGCTCGCGCTCATGCTGTAGTCTCTGTCATCATCTCTGCCCTTGTCGCTCTGTATCTCTGTCTGCGTCTTACGTCATGTCTTTCTCAAAATCTGTCTCTGTGTTCACGTCCCCGGGAATAGGTGCGCTTCAGCAGCCGCAGGGAAACATGATTTCGGACCAAACCGCACCTTGAAGAACTCTAGGAGATCCATAGCCTCCGCCGCCCTCGCCCGCTGCCCCTCCATCTTCGACAGCCGGTCACCGATGCGAACAGCCTTGTGGACCGTCTCGTGAAACCTCCTTCCAAAGAATCTTGTACCTGCACGTTGGAGACCGAGATTTGGAAATCGATTAACTAGTGTGGTACAGACAGACGATAATCTTTTTATGCTTTCTGGTAACGGTATGATAATGACTGAGGCCATGGCACCGACAGCTATAGCGATATATGGGTGAGGTATGGTGGCGGGAAGTCATAGTGACCTCAACCAATAGTACTTGTGACTATCAAGAACGCTGTGAATGGCTGGGCCAGTACAGACGAGAAAGGGGCGGTCATACTTCATGAGGAACCCCTACGCAGTTGCACACAACTGGATCCATTTTCGTCTCCCTGAAGCGGGAGGGGGCTTCAGTTGGGTCTGGAAGCATCACTTCCGTTCCCAAGGAGGAAAACCCAAAAATGTATTATCCCATCATGATCAAAATGAGATCTATTCCATCTGGAGCGATTTCTTCGCCTACAAGTTGCAAGGCGGGGTGTCATATACTCAAGGGGTACAGGAATCTCTTGCGGGCAGGAGGGGCCGTAAACACATTTAACTACAATGAAAAATGGCACACAACCACACCCCAGGACATACGACGAACCTCGTTCAGTCTGGTGGCGTGCGATGTCAATCCCTGTCGGCAGTCCTCCTCGATTGCCCCTGTCTCCCCCGCCATCGCGAGTCTCTTCCTCTCCCCCTCAACCCCCATCTCCTAAACAATCGTAAACAGACGAAACATGGTTGGCGCAGAGGCTTTCGTGGAACATGCGGACGGGCCAAACGAGCTGACATCAAAGAGAGCAGCAGAACGCGCTAGGCGTTCGGCGCCAGTAGAACAAAATGGCGAAAGGAGCAGGTGGAAACGCAGTCGCGTCCGTTTGGCACGAAAAGACCGGTCTCGAGCCCTAGCAACACACGAGCGTGTACAACTCGAACTGCACAATCTCCCACCACCTAAGCTTGAGGAACGAAACGAGGGGGGACAAGACTGCACGAAAGTGAAGAGGAGTGTCACCTGTAACAGGTTGCCGTTGGTGGTGAAGAGCTTCTTGAGGGCGTGCGGGTCCAAAGCTACGATACCGTCGCCGGAGTCCCCGATGTACGGAGCGGTCAAGATTTCCACCAGCTTGGCGCGGTCAAACATGTCGGGGTGGGGTCGCTCTCCTGTGAAAAAGATGGTTGGTTCCGGCGATGAAAGGGCGGCACGACACACAGTGATGACGGAAGCAGCAGCAGTTTACACACCACAACAGTTATGATGACGAAGACGACGACGAACACAACCACAGAAAAAATAACGTGACACGCGCATGCGCGCAGATTTTTGCGCACGAGGGGGGGAGCAAGGCGTTGGTCTGGCTGGCAACCGACACACCTTCCCCATTATTGCTCTCTGGATCCTTCGTTTCCTCCACACACAAGTTTGGAATCCAGCAGCAGGAGCTGCAGTAGCAGCAACAGCAGCACCAGCACCAGCAGGATTGCTTTTCCATATTCGGCCGCTCGGACGGAGAATAAACGTCTTCCCAACACGCGTCGTCGAGATTCCTTGCTATCACAGTGGCTTTCGACAGCAGCAGTTTGCTGGGTGTTCCTACGCATGTATACACGTATACGCACGTCAGTCATAGAGGCGAAGGCACTGTCGAGCACGAGGTGCTTCGCCTTCCGGTCTAGACCGTAGTTATCGCCCTCACAGGGCCACACGACACGACACGACACGAAGCGAGAGAGCAGCACAACAGCAACGCGAGAACGGCGGGATGGATGCTTACTGCCACCAAGCAAACCTACGTCGAAAGGTTGAGAGAGAGAAAAAAATCAAGAGAGAAGAGAGAGAGAGAGACAGACAGACAGACAGAAGTTAATACCCTGGCAATGCATTCGCACATGCGTGAAGCACGATGCAGGTAGCGTTCAGGCTACTTGTACATGTCACGCAGGAGTACACCTGTAGCTTACATGCTGTGACGGGACGAAAGAACGTGGAACTAAATACCAAAACTGGATCGGCCAGGCTGAATCTTAAACACCAAGTACGGGAATGCGGCTGTCCTCGTTTTCCCGCACTTACCGGCATCGGGACAATCTACAACAACAGCTTCACGAGTGAGCACAGGCTACTCTTGGCAGTGTGGGTGACGTATTGCGTGCTTTGGGGTGTGGTAAGCAGCTCCGAGGCTGCGCATTGGGGGTTGCCGCATGACTACAACCGCAGCACTTCGTGAGGACGGCAATAGTGAAGGCTAAACGTCACATATCACTTTGAAATTTGCGCACAAGTGCGACCTACCCAGCGGCCAAGCAACTCTCAACCGAGTGCACAGGGACCCCAAGGCCAACCTACACCTATCTGTGAATTTACCGAGGAGTGGAGCGGGTCGCGTGTTGACTTGTTGTCGTGGAGCATACACACAGCCGTGTTTAACAATGTACATCCCACCATCCCGCATTCCGCTGTGTACATGGGAGACAGCTGCTTCGTGGTCTCCAACAATGCGAGAGAACCGTCGTAGAACAATATACTATATATATTATACACCAAGGTTGATACCTGATGGGATTCCAACCGAAGAGCGTGCGTGTATGCAAATATCCAACATGCACGAGAGTTGGTCTTTTGGGCACCGTTGCACACGGCAGCACCCGCTCGCAGGAAGAACATCCGACGTTCTGGGACCTGCTTCATCGTCTCTCTGACTCGCCGCCTTTGTTTTACTTGGCAACTCACGGTATGCACTTAGTGTCGCCACGCCCTCTCACCTTCTCTTCATCCGTTCCTTCCGGAGTACGAATTTACTGCGAGCGGGTTGTTGAACACTTCCCTCGACCAGCCGACAGCCGACCCTCTCCCACCGAGGCGGCCTCCGAATAACATTTGTTACCGCCGTGCTGCTGCTGCTACTGCTCCAGAACGGTGATCTCACGAGGGGTGCATCGCCTCGTCGAGGCACCCAAGGCAACGTACCGCCGATTGAGACCCACGGATACTCGACAGTATGTCCGCGAAATGCCACGCTGTGCACAATCACTACTGCATGGTATTGCAGGCAGAGGAGGCACGCGCGAGGTGCGCATGTTGTTAAGCGGCTCCCCATGCGGCACTTTATCATACTGCAATACTATCACACTACGGACCCCCTTCTCGATCGTTGCTCGGTGTTGGTACCCACGGTATCGTCCGGTTCTCAGAAATAGACTTGGGTATGAAGACCATCTCCTGACGGCACCCACAATGCACCCAAGATACTGAGGTGGCCTATGCCATGACACGTACTGGCTTCATCGAGATAGATTTACCCCTGTGCACAAAGACGAACATCATTGTGCCGATAAGAGCGGCCGTATTCAATACAGGCGGTACTGACGAAGCTGCACACTCCAATGAGCGTCGGTAGCTGCGCAAAATGCACGGGTTCCCGCAGCTAGCGGTTTGGTGCAACAGGCATCAACAATGTCAAATTTCGACGGAGTGAAATAGTCACGAGCGCTAGCCTACCTCTTCTTCGTGTCCCTCCTCCAGCTACTCCTGCTGTTTCCCCTCCTCTACCTTTACCTCGCTGCCAACTATCCAGGAATCGCATATCAAAGCCACCCAAAAAAACACGGCCACAGCGTTATGTGCTAGCAAGACGGCGAACAATGCAAATGTCACAACCCTCAATGCTACAAGCTGCCAACGAGGGGATGTTGTCTAGGCATAACTCGGGTCTCGAAATTATTAATAACTACAGGGTTACACCCGCTTTTTCGGCCGGCTGAGTGCTGCCTTAGATCAGAGCGGGAGCATGAAGGGGCAACTTTATTTGCGATGTAGAAATAGAGTGAAAGAGGGCCGAATAGAACTTTACCAAGAACACCTTGACCTCCTGCAAGCAGCCAGAACCAGCAAAAATCCTAACCCTAATCCAAGCAAGCAACCACCTCACGAAACAAAAAAAAAACTTGGAATCCCTACGTTTTCTTCCCCTTGCCACTCTCGATCGGTGCTTCCCACCTCTGAAAGCACATCGTCGCCGTGGGATGGAGCGTACTCCTCTCCTGTTATCTTTGGCGCCGTGTAGAATGCAGCGTTCCTCCTCTTCATCTTCGGATAAGTATGACTCGCTGCGCTTCACGACAGAAGTACGTCAGGCGTGAAGCGGATCCACACGAAGTACGAGGGTGTCTCCAGCAGCAGGTTGGTGGAGACATCCATGCTTCGCCCCTTGATTCCCCTTCATCCGTAGGTGGCAGATGAGGGGAGGAAGCCGAGCTCCCGGCGCAAAAGCAGGCCAAGCAGACCATCGTTCGCAGTGGCATGCAAGGCTCACCTTGTCTGTCGCAGAAAAATCAACAATCTCGGCTTCCATTCTTTGTCTGGAATTGTACAGTGGAAAGCGCTACAGCACACCAGTAGCTACAGTAGTTCGTGTGTACACTTTGAGGGCGTCAAAAATCGCTCGCAAGCGCCGCAGGAAGGGTGGGTAGGGTGCCTCAGGGGGAGGGACCCTTCTGTATGACCAGGAACTTGGAGCTCCTATGCATATTCCCGGCAGAAATGCTGTGAGCGCAAACTTCAAGTGGCAAAAAAAAAAACAGCAGCGGATGACATCGAGACTACTTCCAAGATGGCACGGTTTCGCAACGATCAAGGCGTCCGGGATTTCGAGCGTAGTGGAGGTTTCGCAAAGACATCATTTAGGCGACACGACAGCACCGGCTGACAACTTGAGCACGACATGCCATTCACCATCAGAAGGCCAAACACCGCTCCCTGCCGTCTCGATTGTTCCTCCCGAGACCTAGACTACTGCTGCTACTGCTGCACCTTGTCCCTCGCTGCCGCTGTTGCCGCCACGTAGCATATACTCCTGAACGATATGATCGAAACAGGGACCTCACTCTACTGCAATTCGGCACTCCCGGATGCTTGAACAGAACTGCGACTCACCAAGAAAGGGAGAAAACCATGCATACCATTGGGAGGATCCCGAATACTTCGGTTTGCCGGAGCGCAGCTATAGAGCGAGCGTGCGCGAGAGGCGGCTGCTTTGGTTGGGTGGTGATGACGGCCTCATGCGCTTGCGGAACCACCAATGCCACACCAACCAAACGGCGTGAGGGCAAACCTTCCCTATTGCGGCCGCTATTTCTCTCCTGGTCAGTTGCTCTGGCAAGCTTCCGTCCCTTGCTGAAGGGGCATGCTGAAGGGGCAGAGGGAAGAGGGAAAGGGGAAAGACAAGACAAGAGAGCGGTCCCATGCAACACGCCTTCTCCCGTTTCTTGGGTGCTGGTGGACTGGAATGTTGATCTCGGCCAATCAGCGCCTGTTTATCCACACTCGTCAGGCGGATCCGGTGCCTACGTGCCTACAGCATTGCTGGTGCCAAGTTTGTTGCGCCAGAGGTTGTGGTCCTTTCAACACCGTATTGTTCCTATCCTCTTGCGAGCGTCTGAGGGTCCGTGTAAACTCAAAGGCCCGGGCCAACGCATCGATTTCTGGGCTTGAACTGAACTCACCAAGCCTCTTTTGGTGCTTGGTTGGACCAAGTTGGACTGTAGTTTTTATACCGCCAGCCAGCCGAGGTGTACATAGTAGAACAACCCAGCTCAGCCGTGTCCCGTTTCACGGTGACACCATGTTGGCCGAAATGGTGAGTTCAATCTCGCGAGCAACCAAAACATGGTGCGGGACTATGAGTACAGGTTGTCGAGAGCTTTAACTTGTTGCACTCCCCCCCCCCCCAACGCTGCACCATTGCACCAACCCCCCAGTAGTAGTGATTCGTACCATTACAATGTATCGCTGGTTGGTGGCCATGTTTGCGTGTTTGCTTGTTCGTTAGTGGTCTCTCCACCGTGTGCCTTGTTCTGCCTCATACTTCCTGTTATTTTCGGCCTGGTCCCTCTTTGTCCTCGCCCTTTTTCATTTTATTTTCATTTTTTTTCTCTTCTCCTTACGGTTTCCATTTTTTTTTTTTCTCCTTTTTTCCCTCTTTGTCCTTTTTATTTTCTCTCTTTTTTTCTCTCTTTTTCTGTGCCAGATGGACTTGTCTCTGCAAGCGTTGTGAAGTACCAACATTGAACCAAGGGAGTGTACCTCTTTCTCTCCGGCCCATGATAGATAGTGACTGCTAATCTCAGTTGATACCCCGCATAGCGCGAAGAGGGAGCGGAGGATCCCAGAATATCTGTCGTTGATTTCTATTGACTTGCGGACCCCTCGGGGCCAGTTTATTTGAGTGTACCTTTTTAGGGTAAGTTAACCTGTGACCACGGGAATCGACCGCGTTGAGTGTTGGATTAGTACGGACATACGAAGGTACTGGGTAGAGAGAGATCGGAACGGTTTTTAATGTGAAGACAACAACAACAACTCCCGGCGACATCGCGGACGATGCCCGGCAGAAAAAACACGCACATCGACTGACTGTTGAAGACGCGTGTGCCGTAGTCTACCGACTCAACGCCAGCCGGTGGTTTGTTCCCGGTCTGGCACGCGAGAAAAAGGATTCGGAAAAAAGGGAGATAGACTATATAGTCTATCGACGAGAGAACCTGAACCTGAGGTACTGTAGTATCGCAACACCCGTAAGCGTGTCTCAAGATAACTACCGTAGCACATGACTACAGTACCAAAACGTCAAACAAAAACACCGCCGCCGGCAACAACCAGCACAACAGCAAGAGCTCAGTTTTCCCCATGCAACCCATTGCTCGCGACACAGCGGAGGCTAGACTACTACAGCAGTAGCACAGCCACGCAACCGATGCATGCTCGGAAGAGGGAGAGGTCATTGATGTCTGAGTGCATTGGTCTTGACCTCTCCGGCAACACTCGCTTTCGGTCATTTTGATTGTCACGCTGACCCATAGAGTCACTTCGTGGAGTGGGGGAGACCGTTTCATTTTGCTGTCTGCCCGTCAGCGCCTTCTGTTCTATCCAAAAGGAGCCAACAAGAGGTTGAAATGGACCGGAGAGGGAACCAACCTTCTCCTGCCAAGAGATCACAATCGCCTTACTTCGCGTGGTTCGCCAACAACCGGTACAAGCAGAAATCTCGCTCTACGTCTATCGATAACTGCCTGTACGTTGCTGGCGTTCTAACATACTTGTGGGAATGACATGATCATTATCCTACGTCTGAAGCGGGCCCACTATTTAGGCTTCGGCTTCATTCGGTTTACAACGTTTTACCGCACACATCTGTTGTTGCGGATTTACAACGGGTACCCCATTAAGAGAGACAGCGATCGCGCCATGCGAAGGGTGGGTTGCACATAAATATACAAGCGTTTGGGAAGTGGTCGAGAGGCAAGATGTGAGTATACTCGAGGGCACGCATGACGAACACGCGTGTATATGTCATGACTGCATGTGTTTCGGCGTGTTTCGGCGTGTCGGCTGCCTGCTGCTTCTCGCCCATCTCCACCCCATCTACTCTCGCCCCCGCCGTTCCCATCCGTCAACGGTGTTCGATCTGGCCGACCAGGCTATCCTACAGTTGATGCGCCTGAACGTTTCGAGAACCTAGACTTCGTCACTCCAGGGAGGCCCTTTTTGTCTACCTGTTGCCTCGAGCGTGATTTCAGTGTAGGCTATCTCCGGGAGGCCGCCGACAGGCGAGTGAATCAACGACAAGGACACGTATGTGAATTATATGTATACGCTGTGTGCCCTGCCATCCTCGCTGTCTGTGTACGCTCTCTTGCGCGGCGGGGCTGAAGAAGCCACCGTTCACACTGCTTACCCGTAACATTTTGTACACTGATGGAAGTGTGGCGCAATCTG